ACGGCAGAGTAGATAAAGGCGTTAGTTAGATCCAGTGACAGGACCCAAAGAGTGTGAGTTCAATACTCGGTTAAGGCAGTGGAGAACTTTGAGGGGAATTAACAGGAGATAACTGATAACTGACATCCATTAAAACATGGCACGTGGAACTAGAACAGTCTACCCCAGTGAGCGAAATAAAGGGTTCAGTTCGACATTCCAACTACGTGAAGAAGGCTGGAGCGTACAACGGCCGAAACGATGAAATAAATATGGTGACAAAGATGAGGACAATAGTCTGAATAATAGTGTGCATTGCACGAAGGTCGGTAATGAATGATAATACTTAAGACATGAACAACATATGTAAGATTCGCCAGCGGAGCGTAGAAGTAGTCAACTGCTCGAAGTGAGTCAAGTGAATTCCACAATGAATCTTCAACTGCAGACCAACATACAGTATTTACTACTGTATTTATGTGAATGGGGACATAACCATTATCGTCCATAGGTATGCTACGACAATAACATATCAATGACATCCCACTGACAGCTGAGTAAGCTCATGGGGAAAGCGTCAGTTCATGCATGTACAGTAAGGTCCCCTCTAACTGATTGCCAAGTTACATCAAAGCTCTGTAATTTAGTTCTCAAAATATTAAAAATAATTGGGTTCTTTCCAAACAGACCTTGTGTTTAAAATTTAACAACAGATTTCTACTTAAAATAAAAATCTTCACTCTTTCATATTGTGCATAAGTACATTAATAACAGAAGTCATGAAAAAAAAAACAAAAGAAATATCACAACACTATGAAGAAAAGACTAAAACGTTAGTTATTTACAATCAAAATCTAAAACATTTCCATCATAAATCATTATCCTTTATACATTGTGCAGTTTATTAGATGTTACAATCATGAGTAAAGGTAAAATAAAGGAAAAAGTTATTTCAAAATCAATCTAACATTTCTATAAAGATTCATGTAAACATGCCCTCAAACTTTCTAGACACTGATAAATGTCACCATGATTCCTATTAGCATTTGTTTTTCCTGACATTTTTCCAAAATAATGTTTATTTTAGCTCCCTATCTGAGTGTGATGGGGGTATGCCCAGTCAGGGTTCTGCCTTACTTATCATTAACTTCAAAGTCTAAGAGTCAAATCAATAATAAAAATCATGTTTTTAGATTCTATTCAAATTATATTATTGACTGCCTTTCCCAAAATAGCAAGGATATGTGGGTGGTGTAATGGATAGTGGCTTGGAATGGGTAATCGAAGAGCTGAGTTTAAATTTTTGCCAGGTTGTTAACATTCACTTATGAACAAATACCATTGGGAAAAGTATAAACTCTCTCCTGTCTCCAGCTATGGGTTAAACTTGTATCTGGAAAAGTTCATTGTAGTTATCAAAAAGTTGTTAATGCAATGTTCACTTGCAAAAAAAAAAAAAAAAAAAAAAGTCACTCTTACAATCCAAAATATGTTTCAGCTTTAAATAACCCGCTAAAGGTTAAGTAATAAAAAAAATCATATCAATCAATAAATCCTTAAAAAAATGTTCTGTGAGTATCAAATTTTCTAATCCCTCTTTCTTTATTATGTACCCTAGAAATTTCAACTATCTCCTTCTGATGTTATGTATAAGTGTCCTTTTTGTTTCCATTTTCTCTAAAACTGTTGTTGCTCACCTGTTTAATCCATGGTATACACAACATTCTTCTGTAGAACCACATTTCTGTTGCCTAAAGTCTCTTCTCCATCTGTGAAGATAGTCCAGCACTCACTGCTATATAGGAGTACAGATATTACATAACAGTTCAGTATTCTTTATTATTTTTATTTATTTATTTTTTCGTTTCCAATGAAAATTTTCCTATTGCTACTATTATCTTAAAACAGCAATCTACCTGCTGGAAGGTCTGGTATGCCAAAAGAAATTACATGGCTCAATATGTAAATAGAATAAGGTCATTCATGCGAGAAACTTTCGACTAGTCATTTGCTACTCTTTATTATTGATTTATTTCATTCCAGATACAGTTCTGAAAATAGTAAAATTTACCACCAAATGTCCAGAGATAGAGTATTGGCAAATGGTCAAGTCTCAAAGTTCAGCAGGTTAAAGAAAGCTGGAGAAATCTTCAGTGGAAGCCTCATGTTCAAAAAAATAAATATAATTGCTTGAATAATTCATTATACTGTGTCAACTTTGGTTAGTTTTTTAATATTTAACTGTTTGAGCCCTTTCATTTTTAATGACCCAGAGTTCTCTGAACAAATAATAAAGTTTGCATATGCCTTACAGAACTAATACTAAGCTTCTTCATCTTTGTGCTGTGTCCATTCAGGATGTGGGTGATCATGGCTCTCATGCTTTTTCCCAAAGATATTAGTGCAGTGAAAGCAAATTGTCTGAAATCAATTTACCAATTCTATTTTCTACATTATTAACTGCTAGGTCAGTTGCACCCCCTACCAACTACAAAAAAAAAAAAAAAATCAAGATTCTGTTGTAAAAGTAGACAGCCTTTACTTTAACATTATATTCTTTTTTTGCTTGTTGACTGAAATACTTTCAAAAGATATTCCATTGTTATCAAACTGATTTCTTGTCTACTACTCTAAAATATTGTATGTTACTGACAAGTTGAACATGAGACTTTTGTTCTTTAGCCTTTTGAACTTAGGTTTCTATTGCTCTTTCATTTTGGCATTTCTTGTTTGAAATTTGTTATAAGCTTGACAAGTCTACAAGTCGATGTTTGTATTTATGATTGCAGTAAAATAAAAACTCTTCAAACAATCTTTGGATATTAACCATAAGTCCTCATGATCCTGGAATACCTTATTTAGTGAAACTTCACTTAGTATGGAATTCTATATTACAATGGAATGGTATGTTTACCACTTAGCTTTTTAATCTGTTAAAAATCCTGTATGTGAAACTCATATTTAGAATACTAACCAAGTACCTGTTCTATAAACAAAAAAACGAAAGATGCCATATAAGTTCTCTTAGCTCTCTAAAATTTCTGTATAAACAAAATTTTCAGCAAGACATCTAAAGTTCTCTTTGTCTTTATACTAAGCTGTGTTTAATTTCTTACTCTAGTTATAACTAAAATAGTGCTGACCATGAGGGGAAACATCTGAATGATTTTTCTAAGGGTTATATTATTAATAAAATTTATTTCAGCAAACTTAGTATTTTTTCACTTGTTTAAATAATTCTGTACAGTTTTAAGAAAATCTCGTTAAACAGATTAATAATTTGAATTATTTAGATGATCCCATAACTTTTTTGCTTCATTTGGCTAATAGTAATGTGAAATATCAGATGACAATATTGCATATTACGAACTTATGACTGAAATTTGACATACATATATATATATATATATATATATATATATATAAACAAAAAGCTATTGATAGAAACATTGCTTATATATGCCTTTTTTTTTTTTTTCCAAAGTAAATAAAACAAATGAAATATTTTATTAAAATATGCTTTAAAAAAGTATGCAAATTAAATATTAGCACTAGAGTGCTTGTTTTTCATGGTGATTACATTATCACTTCAGCCTTGATTATTAAACTGAGCAAAAGTCTGTAGTCATTTTATAATCTCAGATCGTTTATGCCATATTTGTTTTACTATCTTGTAAGGAAAAAAGTTTAACCTTATTTTATCATTTCACATGTCACCCCCCCCTTTTTGAGGAACTCTATCTTTTTTTTTTTTTTTTTTTTTAATAGTTGCATTCTCTATTTTGTATTAAAGATGGAGCTTGGGTTTTGTGTCAATCAAACCTATTTAGTTTATGCATGTTGCTGCATGTGGAATTGTGTTTTATATTATAAGGCTTGCATATCTTTTGCAGTAAGACTTGATATTTTTTCCAGGCAGTTACTCCTTGCTTTTTGAACATGTATGCATTATTTTGATTTATGTTTTTAAGAATTTGAATTTTCATTATTTTAATTACCTGAAGCAAGGCAGTAACTACAGAAATTATCTCCCAATTTTCATACAATGTACGTTGTTTTTAATATTACATATTTTTTGGTTTTTAATTGCTCAAGTGCTATTGGCTATTCCATGTTGCTTGTTATTTAGTTTTTATTTGATTCTAGCTATTTTGTATTAAGTTTCTTTAAAAATGGGTAATTTTCTGAAATGGAAATTTTGATTGAATAATTAAATTTCATTTTCAGGCAGGATGAATACAGTGGATATAGAAATAAATATAATAATTTATGAGAAAATAATTATTTGCAGATATTTAAATTTTAACTTAATAATGAGAAAATGATGTATATAAGCTATGGGAAAATAGCAGGGTAGATGGAGCTTTCCAGCCTTGTAATCTAATTCCTCTAAAACTGGCCTTTCCAGACTTTTGGAATAGTGACCCAATGCCATTTTGTAAAAGAAATTTATTGCAAGCCCCTGTATTCCTATACCCCATTTTTAATTTGTGGATTTGTTTACATTTTAAATGTACAAGGGCAAAGTTTTTTACATGAAAAATTGCAACAACCAACAAATTAAAATTTTAAAAATTCTCAGTACCACTTGTAACTCCCGCTAAAATTTTACACTAATTGCAGATCTAAAAGATGACTCTGACAAGAAGCCTACAGCTTTGCAATCACTTTGGTCATCTTGACTCACTGATCTACCATGGAAGCGCACCATTTTTTTTTTTACAAATTATATGAAGAGTTAAATAATTAGATAAATAGATTTTGAATATATTTATTTAAAGATAGAAAAGGACTTTATCTGACAATCATTCATTCATCAAACCAAATTTATTTATTAGAAAAGGCTTGTCATGAAAGTTACTCATTTTGTTATATATAATTACAAAAAAAAGAACCTTCTGAAGAACTTTTCATTTTGTTTTTTTGAAGATTGAAAAATAATCTCTTCAAATTATCAGAAATGAAGATATGTATACAAAATTTTACAATTGTTTTCTTTTTTGTATGCTTATGGGCACATGTTGAAACACTGGTTCCTGTATGATCAATGAAGTTAAGCAATATTGGGCCTGGTCAGCACCTAGATGAGTGACCATTTGGGAATACCAGGTGCTGTAAGCTTGGATGTGCATGTGGTGTAATGGATAATGGCCCAGAATTGTTAATCAAAGCAAAGTTCCAATTTCAATTGCATTTGTTATATTCACATATGTGCAAATCCCCTCAGTGGGGGGAAGAATTAATTCACCTCTTCTCCCCCAGTTATGGGTTAATTAGTAAAAAATGTATCACCAAATCTTTATCTCCAAAAAATATTTCTATCTTTGAATAACCTGCAATGGTTTGATAAGCTGTAGAAAATGAATCAATCTTTTTTGTATATTTCTAGAATGTTGTAGAAATTAATAACACCAGCATATTTTTATTTATTTATTTTTAAATTATAAATTATTATGTTTCTGATATTATTAGTGGGCATGTTACTGGGTGGTTAGACCATGAGACCTGAGTTTGAATGCCATTATGCTCCATTTATGAAGGATGTAATTATCTTGATATTATTGGCTTAATCCTAGCATGTTGTGCCATTGGGAAGTGTCTGCAACCCATACTACGGGTTGGCCAAAGTTATGTGGGCATAATTGGATAGATGAAACTGTTTGGAAGCTGTCAATAGTTGTTCTAGCACAAGTCATAAGTTATTGTCAGCATAGTTACAATATAAACCACAGATTAATTATTGAAAAAGCACAAATATGTCAGAGCAAGCATCTGCAACAGAAATTAGCTAGCTGGCCTAGCAGACTGACTTACTCAGAAAAGAGCAGTCATCCATTAATATTATTATATTATTATGATGAATTGAATGTTTTGGTTTTGTGTTGAGTTTATTTTGAATAAAATGAATAAAGAATGTTTAAATTGTAATATTATAAGATTAAGTATTTTTTGGCACTTGGAAAGAATGCGCATATATTTACAAATAAAACTTAAATAAAACCTTGTCAATGTCGTACATAAGACAAAAAAAAAAATAATTTAAAATTAAAAAAGAAATACATTAAAATATTTTTATAGTGCTTCCTATATATATATATATATATATATATATGTATATGTGTATGTTTTGAACAATAAAAAATATTAAAAGATTAAAATCTTCAGACACACTGGGTTGTATATTAATATTCTTTTGTTTTTATTATTTCAGTTAGATTCCTTGATTAGTTTTGGCCAGCATGGCCATCATCAGGAGAAAAAAAAATTCTGCTTTTTAGTAGCAGTGAACTACAGAAATGAATGACTTGGAGAAAATGAACTTTTATCTGTAGTTTTCATTTATTTTTTTATCATGAATTTTGGTCAGTTCTTGTGTTGGTCAAACAGTCTCTTTTAATTTGTTATTTAAGATAAGAGCTGAATGGATTCATGCTGCTCTGATTTTCCTTGGTCATTTTGACAGTTTTATTGGTTCCTGGAAAGAGGATGTCTGTTAAGTGTGTGTGCTATTTGGTGATATTTATTAAGCAGAGAACTTTTCAATACTTAGAGAGTGATGAAAAATTCTCTGCTTAACCCAAATGGACTGACATGTTCACATGAAAATGCAGCAAACTTTTTTTTTCTTTAATCATTTCACCCCAAGCAAGTCGGTAAAGCCACTTAGATGCTAGGGGTTACAGAGACAATATGAGAGAAAAAAAAATCACTGTTAGGAAAGAGAGAACAATAAAAGAACAAGAATTAAGAAGACAAGATTATGATTGACATTGCATTTAAGTTTTTGAAGATCGAAGTTGACTGGGAAGCAAGAGTTCCACAAGTGAGAAGTGCAATTGAAGGAACTGTTAGCATAGAACTTAGGATTACATCTAGTCATTTCAACTGTAAAATAAGACCTTGCTGCCAATCTGGTACTGTGCTTAAGTTCATAAAATCAAAGGTACCACAGAGGGAAGTTAATCTCATGAAAGTATGGAAAAGGCACAGGAAAGTAACATTATGGCAGGCAGAAAGTGACTGAAGGTGAGATGCCAGGTCAGGCCCAATAACTTTGCAGATTCTTTGGATTTTATCCAGAATCTCTAGATATATAGCAAGAACACCAGATTAGATGTGGCAGCAATATTTAAAGTAAGGACAAATGGTAGACTGATAATATATGTAAGATAGATTCTGTTGAGAAAAATTGTCTAACATGAGAAAGGGAATCAACTTTCCTAGCAGCAGAAGCTCAGTCTAGGAGAAACAAAATTATAAACAAATATGTTCCAATAGCTGGTGGCAATTTTTCTGCAGCAGTAAAAACAAGATGTGGATATTGCTACTACTAGACAGCAGTAAAGATGACATCCTTCTTGAGAAGGAAGGGTAAGATGTTTCTTGATGATGACATCGAAGATGGCAAAGACCTTTATTACACTGGGAAAATAGATAAAACTGTCATGATGTCGACCCTTGACACAGACAGCAGTGAAATAGACTAAAATGTGGTTAGTGTCTATGTGAATTTCTTTTTTTGTTTTAAATGCAGTGGTTGGTTAATTATTTTAACTCTTTTTTTTTTTCTTTTTTTTTCTTTTTTTTTCTTTTTTACCCATAAGATATAACTTACTTTCAGCCATACTGTCCCAAAACCACTAATGTGCTTGGAATGAAAAATGCTAATTCTCACAAGTGCCCTTAGTTTTTAAGCACAAAAACTTGGAAAAATGCTTATCATGCACGAATAAATACAGCATATTGAATATTAATTCGTACAATTTGTTCATAATAAACCCAGCATTTTTGACAGATACTGTACTAGTAGTAAAATAATTTGCAATGTATTTCCCTAAAATAATTTCTATTTCTAAATATGATAATTTTTGATTAGCTGGGCCATTAGAAATTTCTTTGGAATTGACAACAAAGATCCTCCTCTGCTCTTCTTTACAGACCCCACCCACCACTGTTGTATTTTATCTCCTTTATTATTTCTAATATTCATTGCCCATCATTGTGTAAAGTCCTTCTGTTCTAAAAATAGTCATTTCTCTTTCTGTGTTGTTATAATTATTAACTGAAGTTATTACATAGCAAAATAAATCTTTTGTTTTTTTTTGTTTTTTTTTATTTCTATTGCTATTGGTGATACTTTAGACCACAGGATGCAGAGGTTGAGATATATATTCAACCTTTATTTGGGTTTTTTCTAATAAGAAAACAGCTTATAGCTTTCTATTTTATGCATATGTTAAATAATATAAATTTTAAGTTTAATAAATCAGGCACATCTCTTTAAGAACTTACGAACCCAACAATACATGCTTAGTTTATATATCTAAATATTTAATGAGTTGATTTTTACAATGGTGTCATGTCAGATTTGGCACCATTCTAAAATAATTTTCTTGTCAAATGTTTTAAAAATGTTTTTGCAGTTTTACTGAAATTAACTAATAACTGTATTTCCTGGTTTTGAGGACCCCTCTCAGTCAACTTGTAAAATTAAAAATAACAAAAAGAGAATAAATATAAAACAGAATAACCTTTGACTTGTAGGATTCAAGTTAAAATTTTCAAGACTTATTTCAGGATTTGGTAAGAGAATAGGGTCATGAATGTGAGGAAATGGCATCCTGTTCATATGAATCATAGAAAAAAATGGTAATTAGCTGTTTCCATACAGGAAATATTTGTTATTCATTGAACAAAGTGTTACTACCATTTGAAAACAGTTTTTCAATAAATTAAACTTCCCAAGTTCACTAAATGTTATAGCTCTTTCTAATAATGATGGGGTTTTCCTTAGAAACCTTTTGTTTGTCATAGTGTGGAAATTTAACAGATTGATCAGATCATTATTTTCTCATGCTACATGTGCTTTCCATTTTTGTGGTTGCTGTTGACTTGTGTAATTTAGCTGTATTGGAATGTTTTAATAAGTGATATTTTATTTACTCTGATATAAAAAAAAAAGTGCATGTAAGATGAATAAGAGTGCTCATTTTACATACTTCAGAATGAATGCACTTCATTTAGAAGGAAAACTTATATAAAACCAAATAGGTATGTAGAGATCATTAGCCATGTTAATGTTCATCTATCTAGAAGGAAACTTTGATGTAAAACCAAAATATTAACCTCGATGACAATGCCAAAGAAACCAATAGAAACAATGATAAATAAGAAAATGAACTAACAAACACAATTCAATAATTATACTAAATTGTCATTAATTTTATTATTTTATGGTAAATTAAATTGATCCTGGCCTGGCAGCTCAAATTCAGTCATTTTCTAACCAACAAGATGTAGCTTCCTGCTATCATTTCTACAAATATTTTCATGACAACTCTTCTGATGAGCTTTCCTCCTTGGGGTTTTGACTTCAAAAAACTTCATGAATTTAAGCCTGTTACTAGATTGCCAACTAAGTCTCACTGTTTTACTGTTTAACTAGATAGATGCAACTATATGTTCTATTCGAAAAGATTCTTTTTTCATACTTTTTGCCTCTGGAAATCCCTTCTGATTTCTTACTTGCCTGTTACCTACAATCTTCAAAAATTTAAATGCAATGCCAATCATCATCTTGTCTTTTTCCTCAGTAAAGTTTTATTTTCCTTCCCTCAGAGTAACCTCTTGTGTCATAGTGGCAATATCACCTTACTTGAGATAAAATGTTTAATGAAAAAACTGTTATTGACTGCTATTCTCAAGCAGATTTCAGTAGAAAATATTTAGTTATAGGATCTTAAGAATTAGCCATTTATTTTTGGTAGTATCTTTCATTATGATTGAAAGTCTGAACCAAAGTATGCAGAGGTTTTGATCTTATATTCATTGTTTTAAACAGTTATTAATTTAAGGTTCTAATTCTACTTTATGGATATAAAAACCACTTGCATATTCTCATATATTTATACAACTAGGATGACAAATCTGGTTTTAAACAAATTGACTTTTCTACTCAATGACTTGAACTAGTTTCATTGCTTGTGTGGAAATGTGGTCCTTTTCTGACTTACCTAAATGTCTGTAGTACTATTTTTAAAGGTCATACAAACCCCACTGTTTGTTTCAGACAGGAGAAAGGTTTTGTGTCCAAGGTTAGGATGGAGGGGTGGCGATCCA